CCCTTAGTTGAGGTAATCCGACAGCAAGTGGGATTACGTAATATATTTTTCTATGGCTCATTCAATACATTAACATACGTTTTCTACTGAGCAACAGAGAATCGCCAACAGCAATTACTACCAGTGTTGAGCTTCCGAACGAAGTATAGTAATATATTCAACACGTGACTACCAATAATTGAGTTGTTTCCAACACTAGTAGCATTTCATAAAGATTTGACGCAGCAATTCTGCACACTTAACACCTGTTTCTAGTCTTCCATTTTTTGGATTGCACAAATTTCTGTAAGCATTCGCATTAATACTGGAAACCACGAAGTTTCGGCTTGTTAATACCAAGAAGGTGGCGCAATACCTCATTCTAACGGTATAAATTGTAATAACAAGATATGAAGAATAATATTAAAATATAAGTTCTCCAACTTCTCTTAATGAAACCGGTTAATTCATTGTAATATGGACTCCTCTGCCGAAATCCTTACTTCACATGTCACTCAAAGTCGACGATCAGCCAGGTTCCATTAAAAATATGTCTTCGATGATTTTTATAAGATCAAGAAAAATGTTTGCAAACAAAAATGTTGTTGTAATTTATTGCCATCCGCTTCTAAAATTAAAAAGCGTTTATAAATTACAAGAAAAGCTGAAGAGTAGGCGAAAGAAAGGCCCAACCGGAGACTAGGTAAATGCTACTATGAGCTCATTGTAATTTCCAGCTGACACTAGCGAACTAGTGTTAGTGCCGCTTAGCGTCATCCGCGGCATGCGGTAATGCGGCACGATCGGTTTGCCGGTGCCAGCAGCAACGCTGAGCGTAGTATTGCGCCAACGGCCTATGCTGGTGTATGGAATATATGTTTGCCTGTCTGTATGCAGTTAACAAAGTAAAACTGTTGTTGTTCTTGGCTTTAGTTTTGTTGATCGGTGTCGAATGCTTTAACAATGCTCGACTGCAATTAAATTCGTATAAAATTTATTGGATTTCCCATTATGAAAATGCAAAACCGAAAAAAAGGAAGAATAACTAAACAGAAACTATGCGAATTGGCAATTCTGACGCGTTGCTCGAGCGATCTCGTCAATAAATGCGGCTCGTTTGCGGATGCTGCAATGCGGCTGCTGAATTATGATGAAGAAGCGCAGTAATTCGAAAAGAGCGCTGCCTCGGACCGTTTGTGTGGAGCAGTAGGTATGCACATGAGCTCGCAGGCCCCTGAGTATAGCTGTCGATGGAGATTGACGGTGAATTTATGAGCTCAATTGAGAGTGCACTTGCGAAAAGTCGGCAACAAGATGTTTGAATAAGTAGGCGTGAATAAAATAGTAGGTTCGTGAACGATTTCGGTTCAGATGCAGACAATTTTTTCTTGCGTTCAGTGGAATTGACCGCTCGTTGCATTCACTTAATATTTTCGCCAAAAATAAACCCAGAGTCCGCTGTATACACCGTCTAAGAAGATTGAGTAATCAAAAAAGTTACTCCCTAAAAATATAAGATCTTCAAATCTTTATCTACTTAGACAGTTTGTTCTCTGTTGAATAAAAACTTAAAAACATTTCTGATTCATATCTTCATATTGCTTCACGGATATATATCTAAGTGTTAAAAGATTTCATATATGGGCTATTAATCAACTCTTTTGTTTTTGCTACCATTAAAGCTTACTTTCCATGATCAATAATTTTATTGAAAAATATAAGACGAGCAATCACAGATATGCAATCTACTGAATCCGCCATACCTAGTTGTGACATTTAAACTTTTAAAACCCGTTAATAAATAATATTATATTTAACACATATCTGATTTCATTGCCTCTAAGCTTTGTAAATTTATTGGCCAGTTGCTGTTCATACTCCTCCAACTATTCTACAGCCGAGGAATTCGGAAATTTCACATTTAAAACATCATCCAGGTATCCGTTGCCGTAATTCCGCTCGCCTTCTTTTATGGTTAGAGACTTAAATGCCATGTTTGGGACACTTTGCGGAAATTTTAAATGAGTGATGAGTGCATTTTATAAAAAATTCGATCGAAAATTTTTTAAGTGAAATACAGTCTGAACAAATTTGCTCCACACAGAGCTCTGACAAAAGGAAATTACATTTTCAAGTATTTTTATATCACTCGTTATTTCGAAAGTTTAACCCAATTTTCCATATACATTTTTATTCTATAAAAGCATATGCTTTAATGGTCTTCAATGCTTTCACCAAATTTTCCGTACTGACGTCATTTTGAAATTTGTATAGATAGCTTCTAAATCCAGGTCTCCATGTTATCTAGTTGTCCATGTATGGATCTTAGATATAAGCATATGCGCCTACCGTCCTTTAGTTGAGGCTTGCTTCCATATAATTATGCTCTTCTTTCTTTTTTTGATTTCTGACAACTCATATAATCTCGCGAATTGGTCTCTGGTCGTTTATGGGCGGCATACTGGCTAGTTCTTCGGCTGCTTTGCTGGATCTTATTGCTGTGAGTGTATGCACCGCATTTATTGATTTAGCATACGCTTTTGTGTCTAGTGCCTGTATCCATACTGGAGCTGTATATATTATTATTGAGCTCATTGCTTTTGCGGTTAGACGTCGAGCCCACACAGCCTCTATTTGCCATCATTCTTGATAAGGCATATGTTTGCCAAGTGCTCCTTGAATTTCAGTTTGGAGTCCAATATTACCTCTAAATACTTCAGCTATGGCTGTGAAGTAATTACACACTCTCCTATAGTGATAGTTAGTTTTTCCCTCAATTTTCCTGGTTCTTATGAGCAATACTTCTGCTTTGTGCTCGGCCAGTTCCCAACTCATGGAAGAAAGCCATTGGCTCAGACCATTTATGAATTCACTACATTCATTTTGGAGCTCATCAAGTTGCTGCTACCACTGTAAGGTAGCCCGGGTATGCGATTAGCTTGACGTTTTTGGTTATGGTATTCTTAGTACCCCATCATACATGAGGTTCCATAAAATAGGGCCTAATACTGAACCTTGTGGTACGCCACTTGTAACAGGGTAGCTCTTGGTGCTTCCGTTGGTGTCGTAGATCATCCTTCTATTGTCAATATAACTCATAACAAAATTTATGAGCTACTGAGGTGCGCGTATATCTTATAAGACTTCGAATATACTTGTATTTGTCTATTTAGCAGAGTTGAATGCACTCTTCACATCGTGGGTAATCAGTGCACACTAATTTTTTGTACCAACTTTCCATCTTTTGCCACTTACTGCACATTTTGCAGTGTCGGTAAATTCTTTTAGTGCATCTATAGTGGACCTTTGTATTCTGAAGCCGTATTGCCTTTCTGATAATCCTTTCGTCGCTCAGCACCAGAAATCGTGGCGTGCTTCATGAACGGAGCGCACTTGGGTTGCTATCACTTTCAATACTTGTCTTCATGGTAAAGTAGACTTTCCCAAACTTGTTTGCAATATTTGCAATTATTCCGTAGCCGCAATTTGTTTGGAAACAACAAGTTTTAGATAATATCGCGGTTAAATTTTTTTCTTTGTTAAAAGGCGCCAGACTAACTTTTCCAGTCTTAAATAAATATCTGCAAATTGACAAATGCTGATTAAACTTTACACGAAGTTAAAAAAGTTGTACCCAAAAAATTGTGTACTGTTTAGATCTGATATATCTATAACAATGTTTAACGGACTCTATTGCGTTTAATGATCGAGCAATGATCAATATTTAATGGTACACTATGTGACAGAAATAACTGAAAATGTTGGAAAAGTAATAACTTATGATCGTGTTCGATGACCATGGCAACGAAGACCGCTATACATTTGACTAGGGGTGAACGCAGAGTGGTGTTCTCATGTGTTTCGCTTCTCACTTCACCTCGCTTTCAAACGGATGTTTTTCGGCTACCCAGAGGATAATTGGTACCGGAAATCGTTATATGAAAAATAATTGTTTCTGGTCACTCAAAGAAAACTTCGGGTGACCTTAAATAACAAAATGCGCTTGGACCGACTATAAGCGTTCACTCTTCGAGCAGCCTAAGCTAAGTTTTTAACGTCTTTTGAAACATTGGCCAACAAAAGCTGATGACAATTTGTCTATCTATAGAGATGAGGTCATATACATAAATGTCAGATCAGCCGAGAGCAAACTGAGGATGGCAAATTGTCTAGCTATGATAGCCGATCAGCCATATAAATAAATATCAGATCTACTGGTCTTAGGTTCGGGATGCCAAATACTACCAGGAAATTATGAAATTGTGTGGGAGTTGCGCTCATCTTTAACTAAACAATAAGCGAGTGAGTTGCAGTTACTGCACAATGATGACGTCGCCGGCATTAGCTGAACTGCCAACAACAAACGCGTTTACTCATGTTTTTGGTTCTCATTAGCTGGTGTTTCAGGTAACTCACGAGCGCAGTTGGTTTGTTATTGTTTGCACAGGTTTGATTCAACTGACATGCTAACACACTAAATACAACGATTTCATTTTCCTTGTTTCTCTTTGCACTGCTCATCTCGTGGCGCGCACGATGCTCAGCGCAACCTTTCGTGGCTCAATTGCCGCCGTGCTATTGATGATGCTGTCGCTGAGTTTGCTACTACAACAACTTCACCTACTACGATGCGCTGGCCGTTGCTCGTGGCGTTTGTTGTTCTTATATTACTGTATTTGCAAATACAATAACAAACATTTTTCATTGCAAATACCGGTGTTGTAGGCAAAATTGGCAGCGACGCTCCGGCGAACTAGACATTACCGCTTACAATAACGGCTAGATGAGTTGGCAACACCGGCGCACGATTGTGTGTGTTGCGCAGCCGCAATGCGATTCTTTAGCGCACATGTGTGCCGACTGTGTGTGTGTGTGGGGGTTTGTGTTTCAGATTGTGTTTTGTGTATTTGCGAGTGCATTTGCAATTTTCAATTTGGCGCCAAACATTCAATACACGAAACAAGTATAAAAGGCGGAGAACTTTTGTCACTGACAGCATATCATTGCGAACAATAGATCGGAGTCAAAGTGTGCGGCTCCAAACGAATTTTGCGCTAAATCATCCCAAAGAGGTTAGCGTTGAGGCAGCTGTCGACAGGATCACAAGCGGCAAGCATAAGGAATATTTCGAGTGTGAAGCGATTTCTATTGTGTGCGTGGCAAAGTGTCAAAATCAAGAAAGATACAGTTTTAGTGTTCAATATAACGGTGTGTGCTGCATTTTTTCGAGTTGATACCAAAAAATAAGGTCTTTAACAAATTTCGTTTTCTTTCTATCACTTGTGCGGTGTTTGTTTGCAGATTCCCCAAAAACAGTAGTCCTCGAATATTTGTGTGAGGATTTCTTTAACTCCACTGAAAATGAGAGTGGTGAGTATGAAAATTATTTCGAAATATATGGGCTTGTGTGCGACTTATGTATGATAAGGACGGTGTTTATTTTCTAGTTTCGAAAAATTGAATAGAACATTTAAAGGCAATAATTAATTGTGGGAACATGTAGAAGTATGAGGGAAAATTAATTAATTTCTAGAAACTGTGAAATAAGAAAATAATAATCCAACAAAAAAAGTTGTGCTCAAAAGTGTTGTTTTCATTCATTAAGTAATTCCAAAATAAATTTCAATATTGTGTGTACAATCAAAAAGGGGTAAAAATATTAAAAACAAGAAAAAACGTTAGCTTCGGTGCACCCTTCACAAGTGCATTTCTGTTAGTAACTATTTGTTCAGTTTGTATGGAAGCTATATGCTGCAGTAATCCGATCTGATAAGTTTTTTCAGAGATTACATTATTACCATACAATCTCTTATATATGTTATAGTGATCCGATATCGGCAGTGCCGACAAATGAGCAGCTTCTTGAAGAGAAAACGACGTTTGCAAAATTTCAAAACGATATCTTAAAAACTGAGGGACTAGTTTGTATATATACAGACAGACAGATAGATGGACATGGCTAAATCGACTCAGCTCAGCATACTGATCATTTAAATATATACTTTATAGGGTCTCCGACGCTTCCTTCTGGGTGTTACAAACTGCGTGACAATCTTAATATACTCTGTTCAGGGCATAACTTAAAGCCAAAATTGAAAATAGAAGACAATGATAATTTAAAAAAAGTTAAGTAATGCATAYTTTTTGATTTTCTTAAGAAATACTTTGGATTTTCGATTTGTTTGAAAAAAAATGTAATTCAAATTTGGACTAAGTTTCACATTTTGAGTGAAAATTTTAAAACTAAAGTTTGAAGTCGTTGTATGAAAGCTCATATTGAACCATGGACAATTCTAATTAATAGCGGGGACCAGTAATGATGGCTTATGTGTGGCCTCCTCTGGTTAAGCGTTCATGTATGCTATTTTTTCAAGAAATCAAAGACTGATATTAAGGTTGTAAAATGAGCTAAATTATATAATTAAAAATTTCCAACTCAAACATTTGTTTATAATTGTCAATATATTAGTTTTAAATACAAGTTTTTTAAACTTGATAGAAATATTAAAAAAAAATGTAAGAATTTGAAAAATTGCCAAATTTCGGAAGTATTTGAGAATTGTGAGAGCTTTATTTTTTATTCCCCTTTCCAATTGTAAAAAAAAAATTTGAAAAAACTAACTATTGCAACACTAAAAGTTGAGTCCAAGAAGTGTTTACTTTACATTAAATCTAAATTAAAAAGCAGCTTTAAGCTCTTTTGGCCATGATACAGTTATCTTCTTCTGAATGTCATTGAGCTTTTTCTGAAAAGATCATTGGTACTTATATAAACACTTTCTGAAAAAACGCGTTTGCTATTTTTATACCCTGAACAGGGTGTATTAAGTTTGTCACGAAGTTTTGAATACCCAAAAGAAAAGATCGAATACTCTAAAAAAAATATATATTATATTAGTAGCTGAACTAGTCCCTTAGTTTCTGAGATATCTGCTTAAAACTGCTTAAAAATTCAATTCTTATAATATTTTCACTTTTCAAAAATACGAACCATTTCAGTAGGGCATCGAAAAATTTGCACACAAATAACGAAATTTGTTTAAGGCCATGAGAATAGATAGGTGAACATAAAGTAAATAGCAACCAATTTTTTAAGGAAACTTACTACTTAACTTGAATTTTAAGCTTAAAATATGCTTTTAGAGCTTTAAAATGTAAATAACGGCATTTATTTCTCTGACCCGATGCGATTTCAAATGCACACTCTTCTTGAAATAGAAAACAATTTTTTATTACATTTTTTTAAATTATTTTCATCAAAGTCTCTTAACGCAACTTTTGTTTACTAAAAGATAAAACATTTTTATTTATCAGTAAAAAACTTAAACATTTTTGGTTGAAGTTGAACCTTTCAAAGCTTTCGGTATAAATTATTAAATAATTTTTATTTGTATCCTCTTTCTTAAATCTATTTTGTATTTAATTTTTTCTATTTTATTATTTATTTTGTTGTTGCTATTATGCATTTTGATTTGAAAGCCTCTTTGTACGCGGATCTACCAATCAGTCCAGTATGCCATGCAATCAATTTGATATTTCCGACTAAATGCCTCACTTCACATGCATAAACAACAACTAGCCGACAGCAACACGGCATGGCAATGCCTTTGGCAAAATGTTGCTGCAACATGTGTCTGGCAGCACAAAGCATTTTCGGAAGACGCGGCAAATACACACAAAAGTACAGAATATGTACATATTAATGGAAAATTCTCAAGCATTCGCATAAATTATTGAGTCAGGCGATTTTCTCCCACCACGCAGACGTGACTATGACAGCGGCGCAGTGAAGATACCGTAATAGCAGCTAGTCCGCTTTGATTTGCATAAATTAAAATTCTCGTGCGATTGGCAATGCGATTGCCGGTGGCAGCTTGTCGGTTAGCTGATTTAGCGGTTTAACCATTTTTTATCAATCAACATTGCCACTGACAAGCCGTCTTTCTGCGTTGGTTTTTGTAGTTTTTGTTGGTCTGCTGCGCTTCCGAAAGTAACTGCCAAAATAGACACGCGAGCAGCATTTCCCAATCGGAATTTTACGGAATTTCCTACTGACGAAATTCGCGCGCTAAATGGAGAATGAGAATGAGAAAAATAAGCGGAGGCAGAGGCCGCGAAGAGTTGGCCTATTAATTGGCTGTTACAGGCGTTTAGTTACAGTTTGATACGGCTATGATATGTCAATCAAGTCGGCAAATGATTAAGTCGTTCGAGTAATGCAATTTCAGGGCAGTAACGGTAGTAATCTTACTAATAACCGTTATAATCATATGACTTTGTTGTTATACTCCACTTGGGCCGATTTTTGGGTTGGTCATAAATGGCCATTAAAAGCGTTTTCGGCTTAAACTGTAACTCTATCGCCCGAAAAAGCATCGCAAACAGTATGAAAAAGAACACAACAACAAAATCAAAATGCGCTACGCAGCAGCAACAAGGAGCTACGCGAATATGCCCAAAGCGCAGCGCGCGTATTTCGTTGGTGTGTCGAAGTGCAACAAAAATTAGTCACGATTCGTGTGTTGTCAGCGCTGCCCTGACGCTGCAACTTGCCGCGCTTTATTTGATTTTCATTTTTCATTTAATTTTTATTTTTTATTTAATTTTCGTGTTCTTCGTGGATATTGCCATTACGGATGCGCTTTGCGCAGCAATTGTTGCAGCTGTCGGGCGCTTTGGCAATATGCACCGTTTCTTTTGCGATTTTCATTTTTACTTTTTGTTGTTATTGCAAATTTGATGCGCTGCTGGGCACAGGCGTAGCCGAAATGCCCGTTGTTCTGTCGCAAATATTGCCGCATGCAAATACTTGTGGCGCAGCAAATGTGCAGACAACCGTTTGTGGCATGTTCAGCAGTTTGTATGCGATGGCCTTTTACATCCATCCAGCCATCCACATACATATATGTTTGTACAACAATGCTAAGTTGTCATTCCACTTGTTCGTTGCCGCTGGCAAATGTCAACTATTTAAACCGCATTAGTTTTTATTGTTATTATTATACTTTAGATTGTTGTTTTCTATCGCTTTCCGTCGCCCTCACCTCTTCGGCTTGGGGGTTAGCCTATTTTGCACGAGTTCACTCGCCTTCGTGCGATATGTTGACAATGTTGCCAACAGTTATGTCACACACATCGCGACTGTGGTGTAGGCTTCGCTTTATCACAGCCGAATTGCAGAATTTTATGACGGAACTGACATTTGCAGATGCTGATGATGTAAATACTGACAGCGTTTGCTTGGATAATTAAAAATAGCATTGCCAGTTAGTTAATTTGCAAGCTATTTTTAGTCAGTGTCGATTAATTCTACAGCTTATAATTAAACGCTGATAGGTATTACATAAGCTGCCCAGTTATTGAGTCATTTTATAAGTGATAATTGCTGGCAGTTAATTGGATTTGTAGTAAGCGGATTTAGTTTGCATGAAGTTTCAATCAAATTGCTCACATTTCTTCAGCAATTCACGAAATAATTTCAGCAGCATAATTAACGAGGTAGGGGATTTTTTGTGCCTGATCTGTCAGTCTTTAATGATGAGCAAAAAGCGTTGAATGCCTTTATTTTCAGAAATTGCGCGAAAAGTGGGAGCTGTCAAGAATAAAGTGCTTTGGCAGGTCGTCAAGAAATTGCTACTATAATAAAATAGAAACTTTTCTTAATTAGTTTCTGCCTTATGTATAAGCTGCTATGCTACTCAAAGTGGTATTTGGGGTTAAGAAAAAAATTCAAAAATAGTTCAAGTTTCACTAATTTGGATACTTTATTTGCCATTTGACATTTAAATATACTTTTCGAGATGATACAAATTATTAGCTAGAGAGTTTTTTGAACTTTTTTTAATTTAGTTTTGAAAAGTAGAAGATACTTAGATGTGCTTTTTCTTAAATAAATGTTTATAAACAAAAAAAATTGCAAGCAAAATAAACCCCAATTTCGTTCATTTGCCGTAGGGATGTGAATAAATGCAAATAACAGAATCAAAGGGTCTGAAATTTAATTACCTTCCGTGCAAAATGTAAAAGATAGAAAAACCCTGTTTTTACTATGTAACAGGAATCGTGGATAGGTAGGTGGATAGGGAGGAGTGCAGCCACCGGGCTTTCAATTTGCACTGTATGCGTCATTTCGATACCTTTGCCCTTAAACCATTTGTGGCTCTCTTTCAAACTACTTATTTTCGTTATGTTTTTTTAGACGGCGACCCACGAAGTTATACTTAACCGGAGGTTTCGTGGGATAGTTTAGAGCTTGGAGTAGGTTATGTTTAGCAGATTAAAATTCTGCACTCTTGCGTTCGATTCTCTCCCCATACTATAAGAAAAAAACCAAAAATTCAATATTTGGTTCCTGATGTGTTCCAAGTATACTGTTCCTGGTTTATGTTAGAGCAGAGCATTCAGAGAAAAAGCGGTAAAAGGTTTGGTTTCCTTACTTCCTTCTAGCTTGCAGTGGACGGAAATATTGTTTTAAGGCAGTTTCATTTTTAACGCATACTCTCCAAAAGGCCGATACCCGCTATAGTAGGTGTAAGTCTGTATACACTATTACTGAATCCATGTAATATGTCTCTAGCTCTAGGCTTGTTACACTATCGGCTTCGCTATTTTGCAGTTCGTTATTGATTTTCCTCCACTCTGAGCTATGTATTTGTTCAAAATGTGTATATAGCTATTTTTGCATCGTTTCCATTGAACGCAAATTATTGACATATGCAGTTGACTTACCAGTGAGCTTAAAGTCTTCCTGCAATCTTTGACTACTCTGGAATTAGCCTGGACAGACAAGACCAGCAATGTATCCTCCCACAGTTATTCAATAGAATTTATCAAGTCTTCTCGATGTATAATCCTTGTAGTTGGATAGAGTTCAATACCATGGGATTATACACTTGCCCTTACTCTGCGGTCCATTTTGGACCCGTCGATGATAGATGTTGAATCAGCCCCCCTACTAAACTTCTTCCCTATTCACGTCTAAAGGATATCCTCTACCGAAAGTACCTATACAAATCTATCATTGGGCGGATATACTCTGAGTTATTTTAGCTTTTTTGTTTGGAGGTTTACAGCCTTTAGCATCATCATATAGCTTGAATATATCTGGCAACGATTTATGAGCCGAAATACACAAATGTTCAATAAGGTGGCAAAAACAAATCAATAATTTTTTTTCGCTTCCTACCCTGAAAAATATTTTTTGACGCATCACCAAGAATGCCATTACAAAGATGAGCTCTTAATTGTAACTCTGATGGTTCTCGGCCTTACATTTTTCCATTTTTTCATATTATCAGATAGATAAGTTCATATCTCGTTTCCAACTACTTGAAAAAATATTTCAACTCATGGATTTGAAGGAAATTGAATGCTCTACAAAATGATCCTTAACGTATTTTTCGTTTGCCTAACAGTTTAAAAGATATTAAGGATTGAAGTCTGATTAGTCTAAAGTAAAAAAAAAAAAAAATTTAAATATTGTAACACATTGAAAAAGATAATTATAATTCGGAAAAGTAAGTGTCAAAGTGACGGTCAGTCAGTGAAAAAAATAATAATTTACAAAGCTAGCGTAACACTCTAAGTACAAGAAATACGAAAAAAAAAATTCTAACATCTCTTTGCTTCCCTTCTCTGCACACTTAAAACAAACTTCAACTTGACACTTCAAAACCACATAAATGTCACTTAAAGTTTATCATTAAAGATAACTTAAGTTGCGTTTAAATAAAACCAAGCGGTATGCGCTTATCTGCGGCAAAGTGTGAACACATAAATACATACATAAATATGTCTAAACATGCGAGCACATCTACTTATCATAATTTTCTGCAGCACCTTCGTGGTGAGCAGGCAACTTGAAGTGCAGAAACGATGTACAAGTAATTTTAGCCAAACATGCAACCAAGAGCGGTATATGTACATACATACACATATACATATGTGTGGTGCATTTTTTTGCTGTTGCTGCCACCATGGTTGAGCGTTTGAATGATGACTCTGGCGCAGTTGTAAAACAAACTTGACAGACAACAAAAGAAAAAAACATATGCTTAGTTGAGCTAGAGGAAGAGAGAGAGAGAGTGAGAGGGAGCGAATAGTGAGCTGGCGCTGAGCAATAAATGTCAAAGAACGCTTTAGAAGGTGCCTCAATGTAGCACAAAAATAAAAAAATTCAAATAAAAACTTAAAAAAAAATTAAAAAAATAATAAAAAAAAAAATCAAATTACCAAAGTTATGGCGAAGAATATCAAACGAACACACATAAAGCAAAACTATTTGTAGCAACAATACCAACAGCCAATTGTTAGCAGCCAGGGGAAGCACTTAGTTACTAGCAGCGCATCCAAACATAAATCTTTGGCAAAAGATCTTGGCATAAAATTTTAAGTTTATGATGCCGCAAAGCACAGTTGCAATAAAAACGGCACATCTAAGTAAATCAAAAACGTGAGAAGATGCATGAAATGACTATTACAAAAACTAAAAACAGCAAAAATGTGACAAAGAAGAAATTCCACAGCATGTTTTCCACCTGAAAAAATAAACAAATAAATAAATAAAATAACTGTAATCCGCGCCAAAACAGCAAACTCATTTCTCATGCAGACAATCGCCACTCGGAGGCTGCCACAGCGTATACGCAACCTGGCGACTGCCGGTGTAGCGGGCGGCAAGCGGCAGCGCAAAGCAGTTAAGCGTTGATTCATTCATAGTTTTATATATACATATATACACCGCGTGCATTCGCAATGTTGCAGCGTTAGTAGTGACTTTGGTTGTGGCTTTTTTTTTTTTTTTTTTTTTTTTTTTTTTTTTTTTTTTTTTTTTTTTTTTTTTTTTTTTTTTTTTTTTTGCTGTGCTTGTTGCAGCGCCGCTTTTGTTGCTGTTGCTGACCTACCTCCCATTTTAAGTTGAAATTGACAATTATTTGAATCGGTCGATCGAATTGCCATAAGTTCGGTGCAGGCATATGCATATGGACACATGCAAGCACACACACTTAAACACACTCACATGGCTATGCGCATGCAATATTCGCTAAAAATAGGAGTGTTGCTTTGAAGCGAACTCTCGTTTGAAGATGCCACCAACAAACTGAACGTGTGTGTTGTTATTGTTGCTGTTACTAGTTGGGCTGTGTTTTTGTATTTTTGTTGTTTCAGCATGCCACTATGTTTTATTTAGCAACATTGCTGGCAGTAGCTTTCAGTTCACACTCATTGCCAACTGACCTACTAGTAGGTGCACACCAGCAAATCTGGCGAAAATATATACGCGAGACTTATTGCTAATCTGACATGAAAGCCTTTATGTATACCTATTTGGTTGTTCATATGCCTGCAAATCGTTGTGTTTGGTTTTATTGAATTTTATATTTTTCGCCTTTCGGTGCGCAGCGATTCCCTTCACTTTGGGGCTAATGATCATCGAAGTGTTGCTGGCGACGTTCATTAGCCTGCTGTTGTTGCTGGCTGCAAAGATGATACTGATGACTTAATTTTTCACGTTTTGTGTGCTTTTTCGTTTAAGAAATGTGAGAATTTGTAAATTGCATAGGCAGTTAACTGCTATGAGAAGTAGATTTCAGAGCAATGATGGTTTTTTAAAGCTGTGATATTTTTGAGATAACCTGTGAGTCAAAACAACTTGTGGGCAAAGAGGACCAGGTGCATTTTTAATATATAAAATATATTTTTAATATATAAATATATAAAAAGTCTTTTTCTTAATTTAGATCGGTTTGTTTATATGCCAACTATAGGCTATAGTTCTCCGAACTGAACTATTTTTGCAGAGATCATAGCAATCTCTGTGCCAAATTTTGTGAAGAGACATGGTCAAATAAAAAAGTTGTCCATACGAGGACTTGAATTGTAACGATCATTTGTATGACGGCTATATGCTATAGTAGTCCGATTTCGACAAACGAGCGATGCTTAAGAAAAAGAAATGATATTTTAGTTCGAAATCTAGAAACTGTATGTCTTGTTCGGCTGTTTACAAAGGGTTGGATATGGCTAAATCAGTTCAGCTCTATATTTCAGTATCGGCCTAAAAAAAAAAAGCTTATTTTGAGCTAGAACGATTAGTTTTATAATTTGACCTAAAGACTAAAACTTCATTAAATCGGGTATTGACATTTTTATTCATACATAGGAAAATCCCAAAGAAAATTTAAATAATATCTTTGTCTTAGAGATCATAAGTATCGCAATATTTAATCTACGAAAATATTTTGTTCTTTACTTTATTATTTTGTATACACTCCCGTAAATATATACATATCTACCTCTCCAATTTCAGTTTCTCCTCATATCGCTATTAGCTGTAGCGCAAAGTGCACGGTTGGACAACAAATACCTGCCTCCACCGGCAAGTGCAGCCAGCGCGGGTGGTGGTCCGGGTCTGCAAGGTCCAGGCGGTAGTAATTTCGGACTTGGCGGTTTTTCAGGCGCCGGCGGTCCTAGTCGCCCCATAGGCGGCGGTGGAGCACCCGGTGGTTTTGGTGGTGGTAGTGCGCCCGGTGGTGGTTTTGGTGGTGGCGGACGTCCTGGTCCGTCCGGGCCTGCGCAACCTTCTGGCCCACCAATACCAATATTGTCGTACGTAAACGAAAATGATGGCGATGGCAATTATCGCTTCAGTTACGAAACTGGTAATGGCATTAAGGCAGAAGAAGAGGGCACAATTAAAAATAAGGGCTCAGAAAATGAAATTGCCTCTGTAATGGGCACGTATTCGTACACAAATCCAGAGGGTCAACTTGTCGAAATTTCGTATCTTGCTGATGAGAATGGCTTCCAGCCATCTGGAGATGCTCTCCCAACCCCACCACCGATTCCAGAAGAGATTGCTAAGGCTTTGGCGGCACAAGGTATCTCTGTAACACCTGGTGGTGGCTACACCGGCGGACCTGGTACTGGAGCTGGTGGTGAGTTAGCTGTCACTTTTTAAGTGTGATATAAAGAATTTGAATCGAATTGATTGTTAATATTTGATGCCTGTTTCTACCTAATTACTCTTAAAGTTGTTAACTAATTAAACTTAATGGTGTACTTAATAGCATATGGCGGCGCAGGTGGTGGAGCAGGAGCTGGCGGTTATGGCGGTGCCGGACGTGGCGGTGCTGGAGGTATGTTATTGAAAGAAGCAAATTAATGTAAATTTTCAAATAAATTATTTCTTCTCCTTTTTTCTCAGGTGGTTATGGTGGCGGATCTGGACCCGGCGGTGCGCCAGGTTTCGGTGGCGGCGCTGGTGGACGAGGACCTGGTGGAGCTCCTGGTTTCGGTGGAGGTTCTGGTGCTGGAGGTGGTTCAGGTTTTGGTGGTGGTGCTGGCGGTCGCGGACCAGGAGGTGCGCCAGGTTATGGCGGTGGACCCGGTGCTGGTGGTGCACCTGGTTTTGGTGGTGGAGCTGGTGGTCGTGGACCAGGAGGCGCACCAGGATATGGTGGCGGTCCGGGAGCGGGTGGTGCAGGCGGAGCTCCAGGTTTTGGAGGTGGTGCTGGTGGTGCAGGTGGTCGGGGACCCGGCGCACCAGGAGCAGGCGGATTCGGTGGCGGAGCAGGTGGTGGTMGTGGTGCTGGAGGAGCTGGTGGTGGATATAACTATAGCCCCGGCGGATCAGGTGGTCCTGGAGCTGGAGGAGCTCCTGGTTTTGGTGGTGGAGCTGGTGGTCGTGGTCCTGGAGGTCCTGGTGCTGGTGGCGCTCCCGGTTTTGGGGGCGGCGCTGGCGGTGCTGGCGCTGGAGGCTATGGTGGTGGTTCCGGTGCTGGTGGTGCACCTGGCTTCGGCGGTGGTGCTGGAAGACCTGGAACCGGAGGTGGTGCCCCTGGATTCGGCGGTGGTGCTGGAGGTCGTGGAACCGGTGGAGCTGGTGGTCAAGGCGGTTATGGTGGAGGTGCTGGCGCGCCTGGATATGGTGGCGGTACTGGTGGTCGTGGGCCAAGTGGTCCTGGCGGAGCACCCGGCTTTGGAGGTGGTGCTGGTGGTCCCGGTACTGGTGGTGCACCTGGCTTCGGCGGTGGTGCTGGAAGACCTGGAACCGGAGGTGGTGCACCTGGATTCGGCGGTGGTGCTGGAGGTCGTGGAACCGGTGGAGCGGGTGGTCAAGGAGGTTATGGCGGAGGTGCTGGCGCGCCTGGATTTGGTGGCGGTGCGGGCGGTCGTGGACCAGGTGGTGCACCCGGCTTTGGAGGTGGTGCTGGTGGTTCCGGTGGACGCGGCGGTGGTGGCCCTGGCGCTGGCGCTGGTGGTTTCGGTGGTGGTCGCGGCGGTGCTGGTGGACCTGGTACACAGTACGTGCCACCAGCTACAGGTGGTGCTCCCGGGGGTGGACCAGGTGCTCCCGGTCGGCATGGGAGTGGTGAATTCAATCCACAAACCGGCTATAATTATTAAAATGTCGGAGTTGATATCAAACCTCGAGACGATCGCCCTCCACAATACGCTGACGTTATTCCAAAATACGCTGCCCTTTATACACCTAAATACTCATAAGTGCGCACTTACTTGAATTTGCGACAGTAAATTAAAGTCCTTAGCGACCAAATGTGCCTCTTTAGCGTTATTTTATTTTCGCAAGTTAATACTGCTTTCTCAATCACTCAAACCTTCAGTTCATATGTTAATTCAATCCATCCACTATACATCCAATTCTAACTTACTATAAACAAACTTGTGTACATTAATATTTGTATAAACCGTTATGTAATAATAATTCGTTTAAGAGAGTGAATATTTTAAATGGCTAGTGAAGAAGAAAATGAACTAATGTACCATTGTAAAATTATATTTTTTCTGTGAATGTTAAAGCTATAATTTTTCTGTATGTAAATAAGTATATGTTTGATTTTTTCCTTTAGTTTTTCCCTTTCCATTTTTGTTAACATAATTGTTTTCTGTCTCTTTTTAATTGTAATGATTTCTATGTACTCGTATTTAGGAGAAACAAGATGTATAAATGAACGAATAAAACCATGTTCGAAAAATTAAGTATTCTCTGTGTGTTTTCCTTTATTAGAAGGTAGAAGGTCTTAATTAAGATCAAAGGTGGAGATAGGTATCTAGATTTACACCCTACAACACGAGTATTATTTGTTTTACCCAAGAAAATTCTTAATTTTCGTTCCAAAAGTTCAAATGCTCTCAGAAGCTCTGACGTCCTCAAATTCTCAGAAATCTGCACTGTCCACAAGTGGAATTGAATGTTCACCCTCCCATTGACTAAACGAAACTGTTTTTCCAAAGTGATAAATCAGTTTTCCAAGTTTTTGAACATGGAAGGCTGTTGTTTTAACTGTAAAATTGCCAATTAAAGCCAGAGAAGTACCTTCACGGACATAAGGCGTCTAAGTTATATGGTGACCAGGGCGAGTTTTCACCCGATTTTATATAGGCATTGTTATAGGAAAAACACTCTCTTTCAATGTTATTAAGATAACTCACATATTGCCCGAAGTATGTGGTATAAAGTAACTTGAAAGTTCGAAGATCTTTATATTAGGTATATGGGGCTAAGGGAAGCATTGACCCGATTCAACCCAATGAACTATTCAACAATCAGAAAAGAATTTTCTCGGAATTTCAATTATATATCTCACATATTGAACGATGTTTTCGGTAAAAACTATATGCACTAAGTCCACAGTACCTAGGGTTTTAAAGTGTTTAAATTTTTTTTTATAATAAATAATAATATAAATTGTATTATATGGGAAGTAGACGTGGATGTAACCGATTTCGCCAATTTTTACACCCTAATACAAAACTGTCCGAGAAATTTCACGTACCAAACATGATGCGGCAGGTCACGAGATATGTGATTTCACCTGACCGGTCCAACGCCCATTGTTAGTCTTCATTTTTTTGCCAAGATATGTGAATACTTAGTTCCATCATGTCGGAGAGACAGACAGTCACCCGGATTTCAACTTTTGTCGTCATCCTGATCATTTATATTATATTATATATTCATAACCCTGTATCTATTTCGATTAGTTTTAGGTGATACACATAACCGTTAGGTGAATAGAACTATTATATTGTTTGTAGCAACATGTTGTTAGAGAGTATAAAAATGAGGTAGCCTGGAAGCCAAATCCGGTGGATAAATGGTTGATCGATGGTATTCAATGCTTTCTTGGCTTTAAATTCCGTCACAATCGTGAGTCGTTGCAATGGTGCATTATGATCTCGATCCATGAATTCATCTTCCACAATTAAAGCCGTTTTCTTTCGGATGTTCATGCGCAAACGCCTTAATACGACCAAATAGAATTTCTTACTGACCTTCCGAAATAAATTAATGAAGCACCAAATCACGAATATCGAAAAATACTCGTACAATGAGCATCACTTTGATTTTTGAACGGCTTTGGAGGCTTTTGTTTTGGTTTCGGCTCGTTTTTTCTCCTCCATGAATGTGGGATCGGTATTTGCACGATTATGCATGTCAAAAGAGTCCTATTTACGGTGCTCTTTTTAAAAAATAATTCAGCTTTATTGCGAGGGGTCAAGCAGGAACGCTTTTAATACCCAAAATATTCAAGAAACTCGCGAGCGATATCAAGCTCTCTAACACTTTCCTGCCGATTTTCAAGCATCATATCCTTCACTTGTTTAATACTTTCATCAGTTGAAGAGTTCCACATACGACCTACGTATACAAACTAAACGATTATTTCGGATTTCATAAATGTATCTAAATCAATAAATAAAAAAATTTAGTTGCCATTTGTTTGAGTGGTATGTGCCATGCGAAAAGATGCCTATGGCCTGAAGCCCTCTTAAGTGTGCACCATCTTCATTAAGTAATAAAACATACGATTTTTAAGAACTGTGATTAGCAATTAGTTGCAGAAATAAAGCCTTCTATGTACGATTGCCTTTGGGGATCTTGTAAAAATTTTAATTTGATTGTAGTTGAAAGTAATAAAAACAACACACAAATACATACACATTGGTGGCAGATGTTAATTTGTGGAGTAGAGTCAATTAATTGCAGGTCCAGCGCCGATTCCCACACATTGCAACAAAATATGTTGCATTGCACGATCAATGAATGAATTATATAATCAAACGATGGTGAATGAAGGTGGCTGATAGAGATATTGAAGAGGCGCAAGTCCGCTATGTTGTTGAACTAACACGTTAATTACACTCTTATACTAGAGCATTTGCGTGCATTAGGTAGGGTTGCTATTTTAACTGTTCATAAAAAGTATATACTGTTATATTTCCTTCATTGTTTAGTTCTTTCATTGAGCGTGAACACTACTAATGAAGATTAAACCCTAGGTGACAAATATATCATCTTGTAACGCTCTCCTAAAACTGTATAGTATAAGAGCTAAAATTGGTATAAGGTAAGGTGAGAGCCAGTGATGCCAGTTGCATTGCCGTTACGTTACGTTCATGAGAAATAATCATCCTTGAGAATGTCGGAGCTTAAAAAAAATCAATAGGTTTCGCGGCCTCACTAACGATACTTCTTCTAGCACTCATACTGCGGGATCTCCAAATCCTTTAAGCGTTGCTAAGGTCGCAAACGTGCTCCATCTTTCCCTGTGGGCTTGCTTAGAACATTTCCTGCAGTCTTATCCATCTGTCGGCCCCATACTGCATGCATGTGCTGCCACCTTATTATTTAAGTCTTTTAAGTAGAACCACCCTAATCTACATTTATGATGAGAAATGCGTGCAAAATGTATTCTGCTTCAACATTATGTTTATTCTTATAAGTACACAAACAAGCACTTAGACATTATTGCTTCGCATGCATTTAATTATGTATATCAATTTAAATATGTGGCGATTATATAAAATTGGCATTTTTCAAGAAAATCGCAAACGAAGACGTTCCGTACCCGTTAGTGAAAAATGTTGCAAGTCAACTGCAGTCGATGAATAAACATCTGTATGTATGCGTATATGTATTTGTGTTTATGTATTAATGTGAAACTTGCTCATCTCTATCTGGCTGGCTTAGTTAGCTCATAATTTGGTGCAATTCGTTACAACAATAAAAAGCACACAACACAAAAAATTTTTGCTGCTTTGATTTTTTTGCATGAAAAGGCAAAGTTCAAAGTTTTCAGGTTTATCGCTCACTTTAATACTCACTTTTCATAGCAAGTACATAACATGTATGTGCGTTGCGGTCGAGATTAGTAACGGCGTTTTAAGTAAGTGACTGGTGTTGCAAGCAACGGTCGCTTAAATTTGTTGGAGGTGTTTGGCCATAAATACATTATCATTACCAGTGGGGGTGAAGGGTCGAGTCCAACTGTAGGTTATTATATAGTGTTTGGACACTCACTAAAAGGAATAATTAATGAGCGGTGGTATCAATAGTCAGATAAAAAAAAAAAAAGTTAGTAAGAATAAGTTATTCTTAGGCTAGGTATATATGTATCTCGAAATAACATAAGTGACACCTTATAATTTAAGTCGCGTTATTGCGTTACAATGCTCTGATATAGTTTGATATTCAAATGTAGGGTAGTCGAAAAAGTCTTTGTATTTCAAATCAAACTTTAACATTTTTTATATTTATAATGAACCAAATATGTATCATTTTGATCGCCCACTTTTGACATTTTTCTGCTAGAGACATTATTCCATCAGTGTAAAACTTTTCTGGTTTCTCGGCAAAAAACTGCGACAAATAGTTTTCACAGGCTTCTCTTGAAGCCAACTTTACTCTATTAAGGGAGTTCTACATTGAAAAACACAAATGGTAGTACGATGATGCAAGTTCAGAGCTATATGGTGGATGCATCAAAATATTCCCAGCCAAGCTCTCCCAGTTTTTGCCTAGTCATCAAAGATGTGTGTGGTCTAGCGTTGTCCTGATGTGTGACGAAGCCCTTTCTGTTGATCAGTTCACTTTTATTTCACTTTTATTTCATTTAGCGAAAACTCTAACCATTAATGTGCTACACGAACTGATACAGCACCGTCTCCGTAATTTAAATTGCAAAATATAGCGAATTTCTTCACTATTTTCACTCATTTTGAACAGGTGTAATTTTTTCAACTTTCCCGTATTTAATTTTGGTTTAATAAAGCTGAAAATCTCACTTTCTAAACACTATATGGTATGGCACAATGTGATTGGTAGCTCAGGAGATATACGACTGCAACGAGATCTATTGAAGAAATAAGAAAATTATTTTTCAACTACCCAATATTACGACTTACGAACTTTTGTTTACTGGCGTATAATATCATACAAAAACTGTTATTTATCAAATCTTACGAAAGATTATTGAAACGGTTCGCGCAGTTCGTCATACTTTCCTATAGTTACCGTTTCTAACGCATTAATAAATATTGAAGTGTTCCGATCTGAAAAATTTGTTCAAAGATTATAACATTGCCGTCTACAGAATAAGGATTGTTCAGCTTCTGTGGCAGATATATGCAAAGTTCCAGACCGAAATATCACAAACTGAGGCGGCCGATTGATTGACGGTCGAGCTTTTCAAACACGACGGCGAAGAACTGATAAGGAGCATGTATCAGTTTCTGTGTAAAATATGGTCGGACGAAAGCATGTCAGACGATTGGAATTTAAGTTTGCTTTACCTAATCCACAAAAAGGGAGACCCCACAATCTGCGCCAGCTACCGCCGGATAAGCCATCGCACATAAGGCAAGGCTATATCGAGGGTATTGTATGAAAGATTAAACCACACCGTCAACAAACTGAATGTACCTTATCAGTCGGGCTTCAGGCCAAGAAAGATAACCTACCATTCGCAAAATCGTGGGAAAAGAGGGGAAAGAAGATCGACACACCACCTCTTCGTCGATTTGAAAGCTGCTTTTGACAGCACGAAAAGGAGCTGCCTTTATGCCGCTATCTCTGAGTTTTAATCCTCGAAAATTTAATACGTCTGTGTAAACTGGAATATCAAAAGTTCCGTCAGGATCGCAAAGGACCGCTCCAAACCGTTCGATATCAAACAAAGTTTCAGACAAGGCGACGCCCTATTTTCAATCTACTGTTGGAGAAAATAATTCGAGCTGCAGACCTGAATAGAAAAGGTACAATCATCTACAAGAGAGTACAACTGCAGGCGTAAAACCATAAATACCACCATAAAAACCACGCCGTTAATTTCACTTTCTCCAGGTTGGACGGCAAAGAGCTGAAGGAAATATACGACGGCTACGCTGTCTATCCGAGTGGATGAGAACACAAATACCCACCAGGGGAAGCAGAAAAAGAGAAAGACCGAGGTGGAGAAGGTCCTGTCTACACTTGGAATCTCCAATTGGCGCCAAACAACGTAAAAGAGAATTTCTGCAGTCTAAGAATTCTTTCAAGCTCTCATTTCAACTAACCCATCAAAACTTTGCAACAAGAGACGAATGACAATTCTAAATATGGTCCATAAAAAGTACCATGGTGATTGGCAACATTTTTGGCATGAAAATTTGTATGAATACCTGTTACACTATGCAAAACGATTTACATATTCGATGTCCTATATTTTGCATCTATCATCGACTTATGTAATTGCAAGCTACTAAAAATTAAAAAAAAACAAAAATATTTTAAATTTTAATATTATATATTACTTTATGCAAATTGCACTTTACTATAGACTAAATCACCATAAAATATATTTAGCACCCGCTTTTTATTTATTTGTTTCTGAACTCTTCAAAACAGTTATCCATTGACATTTGATGACTATGCTTTTGTCACGTTTTTGTTATAAAAATCCGAATGCGCACACATTTCAGCCGTCTTGAATCTTCTTATTCGCATCTTCACCGAAGTTGCACGAGAAAAGAGTGCGGCAAGTAAACTTGAAATGAATAACAAATATTGTTAAAGCAAACATGTTGTCGAGTCTTTTTTGTTTCATTTTATAAGTTCTTAGTGCAGACGAGTTGATTGTAATTTGTTTACACGAATTGAAGTTTAGAGTTGGAACGACCCCGCTAAGCTTGAGGTGAGGTTCGCAGCAAGAATTATATAAAACAATAACACAAACTTCATTCTTCAGTGGCGGTAAAGTATTTTATCGTAAGATCAATTACAGAAATTTGGTTAATTAAAATGTACTTTGTTTGATGTGTGTCACATGCGCACATCCCATGCAAATTTTATAAAGTGCAACCATAATGTAAGTTGAGGGTTTACCGTTTCTAAGTAAATATTAGTAAATCTATTCGAGAACATGTTCGTAAAATAAATGATAAATTATTATCATTGAAATTATTTTAGACAAATAGCGCATGTTTATTAAAAATTACTAGAAACTAACGCAACCTTTTCTTACCCCCAACTGGAAAATGCGAAGATCTTCGTCCCTTTCCATACTCATTTGAGGATTTTCAAATTTCCGTGTGACATTACATCGTATAATCTTCAATAAAGTACAGTTTGGTGCCGCAAATGAGTATATCTGTCAATGATGAACTTAACTCTCCATAAATGTAGCAAGAAGTAGTAAAATTTCGAAAACTCATACGACGAAATATTTTTTCTAGGTTGGTATGAAAGTCATTGGTATCTGTGCCAAATGTCACATCAAAATAATCATTAGTGTTTAGTATAAGCTTGCCTATCGGAAGTATGTGAAGTACCTTCGGCGATTTTTGCGATGAGTGAAATTATTCAACAAAGAAGTTCCATTAAATTTTGTTTGAGGAATCAAATTTCTGGTACCGAATCGTTCAGAATGTTGGAAAAGGCTTTCTGTGATAATTGTTTGTCGCAAACAAATGTTTTTCATTGGTACAAATTATTCAAAGAAGGTGAGAATGCATCAAGCAAGGCCACCAACATCAATAAAATAAAAAAATTGGTGCTTGAGAAGCGACGATTAACAGACAGAGATCTTACTGGCGTTGTTAGAATATTGGAAGAAGCAGTGAAGGCCACTTTGAAAGAACATTGGAGCCTAAGAAAAGTGTGAGCATGATTGGTGCCAAAATCAATTTTTTTTTTTTTTTTTTTTTTTTCGAAAAACAGAATCGTGTTAATGTTTGTGCATTAATGCTTTCCGACTACCAGGATGCCTTTGAACTTATTATTACTGATGATGAGTCTTCAGTCTATGCTTACGACCCGGAAAAAAACGATCAGTCGGCCGGTAAAAAAACCACGTCAAAACTGGTCAAAAATCAAGGCAATGTTGACAGTTTCGTAAGATTGTTGAGGTGTGGTGCACTCCGAGTATTTCTACCGTCCAAACTGTCAACCGGGAATACCATTTGAGGATTATGCGTCGTTTGGGTGAAGCTAATCGTAAAAAGAGAGCGGACGACGATGATGCACTATCGCTTACTTCTCTGATTCTTCGTAATTTTTTTTTTTTCTAAACTTTTTAATCTATCTCGTGCTGCAACCACCGTCTTTGCCTCCATGATATTATTCAGCAAACTCAAACGATCGTTTCGAGGAGTCAATTGAAGACATTAAACGTGAATCGTTACTCGCATTGAAGGCTATTCCGGAAACTACTATTGCGATGATTGAAAAAAACGTTGGCACAAATGTATTAGAAACAAAGGGGATTACTTTGAGTGACATAGATTGTGAAAAATAAATAAAGAATTTTAAAATGAAAATTTATAAAATTTATGAACAAAGTTTTACAATTTTTCGTCGATTAATGTTAGAGTTATTGTAATCAAATTGCGACAACATCGAGAAAACGACTTTAGTTTCATACCAAAAAAGACGAATTCGGTACATTTCACCCTAATGTCAATATATTTTACAAAGACTTTGTCTTAGCATCCATATACCCAATATAATAACTTCTGCCAATTTATTTATTTGACTATGTGCATTATGTGAACTTGCTTTAGACTTCAAATTCTTTTGTGCTAAAAATTTATAAAATCGGTATATATTTTCCATTACAATTCCCAAAATAAAAAATATTCATATACACAATAAATTGAATTTAGTTTCTATGATAAATACCGGTGTAAACTCAAGCTATCCTAACAAAAGAGTATTATTGGTTTAGTTTATAAAATAACTGCCATTATCAAGTCGGCACCCTAAAAGTATGCAGTGCATTGGTGGAATTTCTTACTAATTATTTATGTTTGGAGAGCTTTTTTAACCCTTCATATACGATTTCATAAATTTTTAAGCAATATTATCTATACAAAAATATTAGGTTGTCAAAAAAGTCTTGCGGCATTTCGAAATACGGCATATTTTACAGTACTACTACGATAAAGGCAAAATGCATCTCAAGCCGCCAATAAAATTTGTGCAGTTTATGGACCCGATACAGTTTCCATTTCCACCGCCCAACGATGGTTTCAACGTTTTCGTTCTGGTGTAGAGGTGGTCGAAGGAGCGCCACGCTCCGGAAGGCCTTTCGTAGAAAATTGCGATAAAATCGCTGAATTGGTCGAAAGAGACCGGCATAGTAGCAGCCGTAGCATCGGTCAAGAGCTGGGCATGAGTCATAAAAAAAAATTATTTGAAGAATTGAAAATTAAAAAAAATTCAATAAAAATACCGCAAAACTTTTTTGACAATCTATTACATAAACATATGTACATGCATACGCCAGCTAAATAATGTAACTATAGTATAAATCAGAAAAATAATGGAACTATTGAATGAGTTGGGTTAGTATCAACCCGATTTTACCTATTAACGTGCAACATACTAAAGAACTGTATCCTGGGTTTCATTAAGGTACCTCATATACATACATTCACCAATCATATGGAGCAAGGCCAGTCGGTTGTTCGAAAATCCTGGTAATAGTTATATGGGGGTGAACCCTTCGGGCGATTTTATCCATTTAGAGCACAAAGACGCACTGTTAAGAGTAAAACATGTTCTGTAATTCTAATTGAGATAATATCTATAATGACGGAGCTCCCGTATATACAAATAGACGGACAGAGGGACATGGTGCTCTGTAAGATATCTGACATCATATTAAAAACCAGCAATTTGGATTTTCCATGCACATGTATTTCATGTAATTGAATTACTAAAAATGACTATTTCATTAGATTTAATCAGTAGTAGTAATACATAATATAAAAGATGCTTAATTTATTAAAAAACCACACACACAAAAAATGTATCTGAATTAAACTTAAAACACTTAGCGAAATAACTTGAGCAGCAAACGATTGAAAAAGTAAGTAAAATATGAAATCTAATATTATATATCTAATATAGAACCCGCAGGTAACTGTTTACGTATGAGTAAGTAGTTGTTGGTATGGTTGCTTAGTTCTTCGTCTGTGCGGCCTTTTTGTAGCGGCGATATTGATTGTAGCCGAAAGGGTTCACCAGCTGATTGGGCCGTGAGCGCAACTCTTGTGTCGCCAATTGCTGTTGTTGTTGCTGCTGCTGCTGCTGTTGCTGTTGTTGTTGATGTTTCTGTTGCTGCTGCTGTTGCAACGCTTGCTGTTGTTGTTCATGTTGTATATTCTGCGGCTGCTGCGTGAAGTTTTGACCACTCAAATCGCCGAACTGACCCGGAAACTGGCCTGCACCTCCCAAACCAGCGCCGCCCAAGCCAGCGCCGATGCCACCGCCGAAGAAAGCATTAGCTTGTGGCTGCTGCTGAGCGCCTGAAAACTGCGCGAAGGGCGGTTGCAGCTGACCGGCTAGTTGCTGCTGGTATGCACGCTGTTGTTGTAGTTGAAATGGCGTCAATTGTTGTTGTTGGCCGGGTCTTAGCTGCTGACCGCCGGCCAATTGTCGAAAGGGTGTTTGATAGGGGTTCAAATTGGGGTTGCCTGCTTGCTGGTAGGGTTGCACGCTCGCGATGTACTGAAGTGATTTGGCTATTGCGTCGGGTATGGGGGGAGGCGTTGGTATGTGGGCTCCCTCAGCACGAAAACCTAAAGTGAATTTAAAATAAAATAATTTTTTTTTCTATTTAAATTATGTAATCCAACGGCAGCTAACCATTTTCATCGGCGATGTAGCGTACGGTGATGGGTGTGCCCTCCGGTGAGGTGTACGAGTATGAACCTTGCACCACCTGCGCCTCCACATCTTCGCCTAGGCCCAGATTCTTTACATACCCCTGCGCTTGAGCGGTCGTGCCATCTGCAGAGGCGTAGCCATATGAAAAGCTGCCGTCGTAGTTGAGTTCGTTCTGATAGGCGGTGATCGGCACGTAGTTCGGTTGGTCCAGTCGATTGTAGATGCGAAAGGGATTCTTAAAATATATGGAAGCAAAAATGTGCATAATTAAATTTCATGAAAAACATAATCAATTATGTGGGGATATTAAATGTCAAAAGGTTCTTTACCTGCGGCACTATGCTGGCGAGCGGTGAGATTGGCGGAATTGCGCCCAAAGTCGTGCCAAGCGGCTGCAGCGTGTTTAGTGCGTTCGGAAAGCCTTGCTGCTGTTGGCGTTGTTGCTGTTGTTGCTGCTGCTGCTGCTGCTGTAATTGTTGTCGTAATTGCGTCTGCTGTTGTCGCTGAAACGGTGATTGATTGAAGAGTGAGTTCTGTTGACAGCGACAAGTGTGCTGCGACAAGCTAAGCGATAATACTAAGCCGGCTAAGAGCTGGAAAATATGTTGATAAGTTCAAAATAAAAGGAACATCAGTATGTGAACATAAAGCAATTTTAATTATATGCAGTTATGCAGAGGTTATATGGATTACTACATTCGTCTGATTTAGTTGTTGCATGTGTAAGTAAATACTTTCAGATATACTTTTAAAAGTATCTGATATATTTCAATATTAAATTAATTTAGCTCGACATTTAGACTATATATATCTTAATAATGTATGGGACTAAAAAATGTTATTTATTCGCTCCTGATTTATTTCCAAATTTTTTCTTTAGTTTAGCTACTTTCGTATTAGATTCCGATTTTCACTTGCGACTCCCCAAAAGATTTAATAGAAATGCCTCTCTTTCAATTTTAATTACTGAACGTTTTTTGTTGTTATTAACTTAAAACTAAAGTCTAAAATTATTGACACTTTTCATTAGTCAATTATATTATGGGACTTAGCAAATGATTTTCTGCGAATTTTTTATCTCGACATATAATAATCTATGTTAATATCCAAATTGAAAGGTACAGTTGATAACACGGCTTCTCCGCTTTCCTTTTATCGGAAAAACATAGATATTCCTCTCTAAACGAGGTATTTTATCACTAAATCTTCCAAAGCGTTCAAATGACCGTCTTTGAGACTTTAAACCAAATTTTTAAAATCCAGGTTTTTATTTTTCCTGAACTTACTGCACGCCTTTTCCTAATTACATAAATAGCTGTTAAATTTTTCAGTAAATATTTCTCTTCTTCTTTCGTTTTTCCTGATAATAATATGTACTCTACCGTTGTCTACCCTGAGCGATCTTTTGATCGCCAGAATTTGTATGGAATTTTATGATATACTATATATTTTATCGGTGATAAAATCTCAAACTTAGCCCAAATCCGCACATTTCAAACTTGCAGGAATCAAAGCCAAGGAAATACCGAAAGGATCGGAATCCAAGCAATGAAGAAAATAATCAGAATATACTTCAGTTGATGGAACTGTTTGGAATAAAGTTCACCAAACTCCTGAACCTAGAAGATCTCCGTTTCTTACAATTTTTCATAGAAATACCAACTGAGATATGCGAAACGCAGCATTATGAAGGCCAAAGTGCGTTTTTGTTGATACTTGGACTTGCATAAGAAACTTGAAAGTTTCATATTTATGGAATAAGAAAATGAAGTCCCGTATTTTTTCACGAACAATGAATAGATATCGTTTCACAGAAATTATGCGAATTATACGATTTGATAAAAGAAGCGAGCGGAGTTAGCGTTTGCAGACTGAAAATTTTTGTTCTCAACTCAAAGGTATGGAAAAGATGTATAGAAAATAGTAGAAATTAATCCGAAACTGCTACAAAATAAGTGCAACAATTACTATTGATGTACAGCTTTTTGCGACAAAGATGGGATGCCGATTTATACAATATACTATATGCACAATAAACCCGATAACTACGGAAGCTAGTTCTGGTAGGGGGAACGTTGAAAGTAAATATATTTTGAATGGATTTCCGGAAAGATAAAGATAAGACGAGACAGTCAGCAATACCAATTAGTGAATTTGTTGTTTTCAAACTTAGTGAACCATTTATAGGATGCGCACGATATATAACCGCAGATTGGGTTTTTGCGAGCACATCTTTAGCAACAAAACTTTTCTCAAACAAAAAAAAAAAAATAATAATACCTTAGTAGGAACTATTCGAGCGAATAAGGGAATTACCCAATCAGTTGACCGCCATGGGAAGAAATTGATTTATATACTATGTTGGTAGGCTTAGTGTTAAGTTTGCCACGATTTTGTAACACTCAGATACGATGGACACCGTAAAAAATACGATGGAGATAAAAAAAAACCTATATAAAAAAAAAGAATACTGTGTTCATCATTTTTACATACCCGGAAATTCGACTTATCCATTGCAAATGAAACGTTTGTCACCACACCGGAACTATTTTTCCATACACTTGTTGTATTTGTAAAAAATTATCGTACACTGCTAAATATGTTTTGTTTGTCAACTCCAAACACAATGCGGCAATTAACTTCCCACCTGCGATCAGCGCTTGTAATGAGTCGAGACAACTTTCGATTTCTGGAACATTGTCGCGCTTGAAAGTACTTTCCAGACTTTCCAGCGAAATTTATTTGTTGTATTGTGAGAATTTTCACCGACGCTTTCGCGGCACTTTGCACGTCAACAACTGCGATATTGCCGATAAGAGGCTGGTGATTTGTATTTATTGGCGTGTGTGTGTAGGTTCAGCACACAGGTAATCCCTTAAAGGCCGCGCTGCAACTAATTTCCAGCCACTTAAGCGCTTTGTATTTATAGAAACTCCTACGCGTGCGAGTTCAGTGGAAGTCATTTGAGCGCGCACTAGAACCTAGCGCGGGGTCAACGGGGGCGCTTCATGTTCACTTTAGCGGCGCAGCTTATTTATGCCTATGAGCTAAGCATTTTTTGCCGCCCTAAGCATGAGCTGTAGGTTAGACAGCAGGCGGCTCATGTGCCCTGAGCTGCCACAAGCGCGCTATCTGCCAAAGCAAGTCTGCAGTTCAGGCCGGCCAACGAGCTGTCGGTAGCTGGCTGCCCAGCAGGTGGAGTGGGAGGTGTCGATGTTACTTCGGCAGAAGCATTTGCGCTTCCTGTTCAAAAGCTAGGCTAACAAGTGTACATAAATTGTTGTGCTAGTAAGAACAACAATAAGCGCGCCTAGGAGGCACAAATTGCAAGAATTTTCTTGTAGATTAGCTCGTGTGCATATGCGATAGTGTAACTGCAGCGGCTTATCGCGGCAGCTGTATCTTCAAAGACGCTTAGCGGCTGGAGCATTATTTACTTTATGGCGTTTTTGTTGTTGTTGTGTTGGTTGGCGCATGCGCTACTTATAGACGGGTAATTAATTTCCAGCTCTTTGTGCTACCGTTTTGTGGATTTTTTCCGCTAGTCGCTTGACTCGCTGACTGCAATGCAAACATAAGCTTGTTAACGACCGGCGCGCGCCGAAGCAGCTAAGCGCAGTTTAATACAATTTCAACCGAATTCACTTACTTTTTTGTCCAACTTGTTGTTGTTGGTCGCTTCAATGCTTGCTACGGAATTTACTGGCTTTTTATTGAACGCTGACCGAGGGACAAATGGTCTTCGCCACAGCGCCTTTGAGATTAAATCTAAGCTTCGTTTGTTGGTTTTTATAGCAGTTGTTATTGTTGTTTTTGCTTGTTGTTTTGCTTTGAACTCTAAGTTGGCTGGCAAAGCGCTAGTCATTAGCATTTCTTTCTTCTTCCTTTGCTTTTTGTTTTCTTTGCATTTGCCGCTCGTTGGGTGGGAATTTATGTGGCAGCTGTGGCAGCGTGTTGCACATAAATTTCACGGTCTCAAATCGTTTTGCAATGTTTTCAAATGGATTGTGCACTGTGCAGTTCGCATAAGATTTTTGTTGATTTATTTTTCTTCAGGAATTTTGCCGTTATGTAAATTTGATGCAAATTCAGAGCTGAAGTGCAATGCTTCGGATTTGTTATTGTTGTTATTGGCATGGCTGTAAATAAACAAAGTGAGGAATTTAAGAGCATTTAAATCACGAGCGTTTACAAATGAAATTTTGATTTGAGGTCAAGGTTGTTGAGTAACCGGGTTTCCTTAGACTAAACTAAATTTTTATATTGGTTGGGTTCAATAAGAGATAGTAAGAAAAATGTGCAAGGTTTTGACCTTAGTAAGTCGGTTATATGGTACTCGGGCTTTTTGAAGTGAATTTTGTGGGTAAATAACATTTGAAATGAAAAGCTCCCGGTCTATCACAGTAAAACAAGGAGCACTTTCTTTTTTTTTTCTTCTTTTCTCGACAGTTTATCGGCGATAGTTGTTGTTGTGGTCCTAACGGTTATCAACTGCGATAGTCATTGATGATGGTCCTTCCTTTAGTAGTCAATAAAAGATGTTCATCCCAAAATACAGCCGCCATAACTTCGCCAGTCGACGGTTCCGTTTTCCACGAGTGCTCATGCGGCCCCCTTTGCTCTGGGCTTTCTCACACCCATATTCCATATTATTATTATAGTATATGCTGCCACGTTCGCAACACACATACGGCCAATATAGCGATTTTGTAATTTTTTTGTAGTCCAGTTTATTACTCGGTTAGCTTAACGTTTTAATTATTATTTTTATTAGAAAAGCTCTATTAAGATTTAAGGAGGAAAAAGAGTAAGAAAAGCTTTACAGTAAAGAAAAATCATTATCAAAATTAATAATGAATGAAAAATAAGAAGTTATAATACAGATATCAAAGAATTGAGGTTCATGGATTATTATAATGGGGAACATCGTCATATTTCATATGGGCCTACGGGTTTGCATAACTAACATGAAACAAATTCATGAACCAAATTAAATTTTTTTTTTTTAATCGTTAATGTCAAATATTTTTTTATGTTTGTTTCAGGTCCGTTTTTGACATTTTAATGATTTCGGAACATAGTTAGTACCCAAAAAATACTTCTTTTTTTTTGGCTGCAACGTTTGAAATGTATATTTCTTAATTATGTAAAGAAAGATAAAGAACTGACTTTGACACGAGTGAGAACACTTTGGACTTTTATTCTGGGGTTAACGACATTGATTGAATACAAAGTAACGACAACCGTTTAAAATATGGGTTTTACATTCAGATTCTTAACATCTATAAAACATTTTATTGTAATTTGACAGTAAACAGTGATGAAGACGCATCCAGTGACTATAGCTGCTTTAAGGAGCTCTCTTCCCTTCGCTGTCATATTACTACAAGGTGCATTCCAAAGTAGACAGGACATTTTGAATCTAGCGCCATCTATATGTCGACTAGTGCGTTAGAATCTGCTATCTTTATAGATTGTCCTGAGAAATTTTCATGACATCTCATTGATTGGAATTGAAGTTATTGCGTTTTAAGTGTCAGTATGTTTGTGTTATCGCTGCGAAAATGATCATCGAAGAAAAAGCCAACAATAAATTTTGTTTTAAAATTGGTAAAACTTTTACCGAAACATTTCAATTGATGAAACAAGTTTATGGCGATGATTGTTTGTCAGGTAACAGAGTGCACCGGACGTTATCAAGGGGGTCGTGAGGACATAAATGACGATGAACATGTGGACCAATCAAAATCCGTGATCACCGGAAATTCCATCGAAACTGTGTGTGAATTCATCAAAAATTAGCCAAAATCATTATTACAATTCATGAAAATAAAATTGAACATCTCCAAAACATCGATTTATCGCATTTCGACCGAACATTTGGCATGAAAGGTGTGTGCACAGTTTGTTCCGCACAAATTGCTCAGAACCGAACATTCGTAGGACGATTATTTGGCCAAAAAGCACATTTTAACCATTAACCACTCCCCGTATTCACCTGATATGGCACCGTGCGACTTCTTCCTTTTCAGAAAAATGCATTTGGCTATGAAAGGAAAGCGTTATGCAGACGTAGAGGCCGTAGGTCAGAAGGCTTGCACTGGCATACTGGCCAACGAGATGATACACTCGCTCGACATGCTTTTGGACCGTGCAAAAAGCTCTATTGAAGCAGAAGGAGACTATTTTGAATAAAATAAATTGATTTTGTCGAAAAAAACCATATGTTCTGTTTTTTTAAAGTCCTTTTTACTTTGAAACGCACCTTGTAAAACACCAATGCGAGTGTTTTGCGTTAAAGTCACCAACCATTATGTTTTAGAATAAGTTCTGGGTAAAATTTCTTTTTGATATTGTGTCTGTTGGGCTATGTATTGCAGTAATACTTACTTAATATCACTAATTTCATTCGAGAATTTGTTCGTTTTGCAGACATATGATGTTGAACTGTTTAGGTGGAAGTGAGGCTTTTCCAGATTGCTGACTTATATTTGTATTTTCCTACTGTGGATCAGTAGAAGGGGTTGTACTTAAGCGTTTTGGTTGGTATTCGCAGGGTGATTTTGATTGCGGTTACAGCATTTTGGCTGTAGTTCGGTAGGTTCTGTGCAGCTTAGAGTTGTATGAAGGTTACCTGACCTGATCAACTTTTTCGAAATACGCGACATAGATCAAAACGCTTCATTACCAATGTATTGGACTTAAATTCCGATTACTCGCCAGTATTCCGCCTTATCTTTGGAACATAAATACATATTGGGAGTATTTCAAAATTATACTCGACAAATATATTGATTTCAAAGCAAATTTAACAACTCAAAATATCTTAGAATATTAAGTTCATACATTTACGATTGACAAATCACGCGGTTTCCTCTATAAAAAAAATTAACTGAGCTTCTCAGTATCAAACATTGAGTAATTACATTGAGAAATCAACGCCAAACAAATATACAGACTATTCTCTTTGGAAAGCTGTAAAAAATATTATTGAATACACACTTCAGAAGCCAAACAGATCCTAAGCCAAAAGCGACGATGAAACAGCAGAAATTTGTTCAGCGAAACTAACTAAAGTTGAAGTCTATCCATATAAACTGCACTAACAAATGTGCTCTTATATTGCGTAGTCGAAAAAAGTCGCTTCGTATTTTGTCAATGGATGTCGTTGCAGTCGTATATCTCCAGTGCTACCAATCACATTGTGTTATACCATGTAGTGCTGGAAATGTGAAAAAATCATTTAAATTTTTGTATAAAATAGGGAAGAATACCAGGCAAGCCACCAATAAAATTTGTGAAACTTACGGAGACGATGCTGTATCCGTATAAGTTCGTGTAGCACAATAATGATTCGCTCGCTTTTGTTCTGGTAATTTCGATGTGAAAGATGCACTTCGCTCTGGTCGACCTATCGTTGAAAAAGTCGTTGAAATTATGGAAAAGATTGACCAGGACAACACATAATCAGCCAAGACATCGCCAAGGAACCTAGCATTCATCATCAAATCGTTTTGAACCATTTTAAAAAGGATGTCTACAAAAATAAGATCGAAGTTTTGGTACCACATTAGTAACATCAAATGAAACCCTAGTATATATATATTAGATTCTCAAAAAAGTCTTGCGGTATTTTCGCTAGTTGGCGCTGAGAGCGCGTAGTTCTAGTTTTATTCGTCGAATCGGGTCGTGCTATACCTTTTGGAAATCTCATTTCACGCTCTAACACGTGTTTGATTGTTTGATTGGTCGAAAGAGACCGGCATAGTAGCAACAGTAGCATCGGTCAAGAGCTGGGCATGAGCCATCAAAAGATTTTTATGAACAATTAAAAGCCATCAAAGACTTTTATGAAGAATTAAAAATTCAATAAAAATACC